ACGCCCCCTCCTCCCTCTCTCTCTCCCTCGCCGGCTTCCGTAGCTGGCCTGGCCCGCCCCGCCCCGGGGCGCATGCGCGCCGCCGCCGCTCGGCCGCCGCAGAGCAGGGCGCCAGCGCGCAGGCGCCTCTTGGGGCGGGAGTGGTGTCCGCGCGGGTCTTTGAGCCCGCCGGATGACCAACCTGGAAAAACAGCTATATCAGGGGTAGTCAACCTTGGCTCTTTTATGACTCATGGACTTCAACTCCCAGAATTCCTGAGCCAGCATAACTGGCTCAGGAATTCTGGGAGTTGAAGTCCATGAGTCATAAAAGAGCCAAGGTTGCCTACCCCTGAGCTATATACACATATACATACACACAGACACACACAGAGCGTTGGGATTTTTCATTCCCTTCCCTGACTTGGGGAGGAGGACGGGGGGAGCCTGGGGGTCTGCGGAGGACAACGGCCAGCGGTGCCTCGTTGCACAGCCCCTGACGCCCCAGCTGCCAAAGCTTTTGAGGCTGGACTCCTGCAAAGCCCTGCTTGCAGGGCGGCCCTTGATGGCGGCTTTGGCAGTTGCAGCCTGGGTGGGAAAGTGGATCCCCAAAGTCCCCCCCTCAAAAAAAAACTTTGGGGGGTTTGCTTTTGAAGCCCTCAGCCGAGTTTTCCCTCCTATAATCCGGATGTTTATGCTAAAATATTTGTTATGTTATTTACAAGGGTGTAGGTTTATATAGCGTGTTGTATGTAGCATGTTTAAATGTGTGTCGTGCGTGTGTGTGCTTTGAGAACGACCAACTCAATTTCATTTTTAATGTGTGCCAATGTGCCCACAGTAAAAAAAATAACAATAAAGGTTGTTTTATCTATCTATCTAAAAAAGGCAGGTTCTCAACCTTGGCAACTTTTAAGATGGGTGGACTTCCAGAATTCCCCAAGCAAATTTTTTTAAAAAAAACCCAACCCCTTTTCTGCTAAGGAACATGGGTAGGATTGCTTTGAGCCACCCGTTAGGAGCCGGGTGCCATTCCAGCACAATAAATGATCATTATAAAAAGAATTAACGGAAGGGACCTAAGGAGGTCATCTAGTCCAACCCCCTGCATCGTCTGAGCTTTGTTTGCAAAGGCACCCAACCTGACTCTGTTTCTGACTGGACCGGAGCCCAAAAACCCATCTTGATCCAGCCAAAAACGGAACACAGAATTGTAGCCATGCCAAAACAGGCTCCGGGAGCTGCAGTCAAACCTGGTTACAGAACAAACAAGGTTCTGGAATACAAGGAAATCTTTTGACTCCTCCGTTGGGGCCGGATTTCTCCCACGCAAAAGAACGAACCACGTTAATGCTAAACCGGCTTAGGGCGCTGAGCAAACACGTTTCCCGGAATCACTAAGTTGGCTGACCTTTAAACGTGGTTCAACAGCAGCATTTGAGGGGATTATTAATGTGTGTTGACCCCTTTATCAAGGCTTGAACCGAGCAGCATTTTTGGAAACGGGTCCCTCTCTGAAAACAGAAACGGCAACTCTTCTCTTTTTTGCTACAACTTGGGATTTGCGAGACCGTGCAAGAAAGAACGAAACGCTGCTTTAAACACCATTTTCGCATTTATTTCACAGACAGGTATGTACAGACACACAAAAGGGTGCTAAGATTAAATTACAGGAGTCGAGGGTCCCTAGGCAAACAGGGATCTAGCTTGGTTCCTTTTATTCTGGGGAGAGGGGGGGGCGCACGGGGCCTTCTCCACGACGGAAGGAAAAAGTGGGAAGCGCCTCGCGCTCAAAAGGCAGAGAGAGAGAAAAAGCCAATTTTCATATCAAGAGCCGCCAGTGCACCTTTCCCTTCTTCTCCCTCTCTGCCCCAAAATAAGTTTGCACGAGAACCAAGCTGTGAAATTGGGGTGGGTGGTCTGGCAGTTCAAAAGGCACTGTCCGTTTCTCACGTAACCCGCTATCCACTCGCTCCACTTTCTTCTACAGTCACACATTTCCTCTTCCTCCTCCTCCTCCTCGACCCGATTAAAATTCCCGGCTTTTTAGGGCCTGGGGAGGCCTTCCAGTTCGTGCCAACACCCTCCCTTGGCACAGGAGGGGGCGAGGAACTTGGGGGGAAACGAAGCGATCAACGAGAGGCGGCAGCCCACATCCAGCAGGTCTGTGACGGGCAGAATTTCTCCCCAGACGGAGTCGCCAATCCCCTGTTCATGTTTCCAAGACTCGGATCAGGGGCAAAGGTTTCGGTCCCAGTGGCTTGGTGAATCTTTTGCTGGAGGAAAAGAAGAAATGAATGAGGAGGGAAGGAAGGAAGGAAGGAAGGAAGGAAGGAAGGAAGGAAGGAAGGAAGGAAGGAAGGAAGGAAGGAAGGAAGGAAGGAAGGAAGAGGAAGAAAATTAAAAAGGGAAGGAGAGAGGAAGGAAGGAAATGGAGGGAGCAAGGAAGAATTGGAGAAGGGGAGGAAGGGAGGGAGGAAAAGGAGAAAGGGAGGGAAGAAGGGAGGGGGAGGGGGGAAGGAGGAGAAACAGATAGAAAAAAAGCTGTCATAGAAAGGGGAGGGGGTCTCTGAGGGTCTTGGTGCGCTCCCGAGCTTCTTTTCCTGAAACGTTTCCTTTGGGTTCTCCTGCAGACGTTTCGTGACCCAGCTAGGCAATCACATCAGAGCAAGGAAGCATGTGGTTTGCTGGCTGGGCATCTCTTGCCTAGGCAGCCCATCCTAACCCCTCCCTCGCCCTGATGGGGTTCCCTAGCTGGGTCGTGAAACGTCTGCAGGAGAACCCCAACTCTCTGAGCCGGAAGAAGACACCCTCTCCCCATCCCCTGGCCCCAACCAGAAACCCCCCCCCCCGGCTGGTCCCCAAGGGCAGGGGAGGCTGTGGCCACCTTCAGACCAGCCGCATCCGTCTCCCCCTGCCCGGCAAGCTCACCCGCTGACCGTCTCCGATTTGGACCGGGTGCGGGCATGGAAGGAGCCGGGGTTGGCCTGCTTTTCGATCAGGTGCTCCATGCGGTCGTGCATTTCCAGGTTCTTCCATGCAGGGAAAAAAAGGGGGGATTTTAGGGAGACATTCCTCGCCCCGGGAAGCGAAGCAAAGGTGGAACCGAGCTGCAACTGATTCCTCCACCCTCTCCTCCTCTCCTCTTTCTCCTCCTTCCCTCGCTCTTTCTCCCCCTCCTCCTCTCCTTCCTTCCTTCCTTCCTGCCTCCCTCCTTCTCCTTTTCCTCCTTCCCTCTCTCCTTATCAATGGCACCGCCTTGCAAGGGGCCTAATGTGCTGTAGAAAAGTTCCCACCTGCATCAGACACCAAAATCTGGGCTCAATCCACCAGGAATAGGCACTCCCCCTGCCCCAACACACACACAAGCACATTTTCTGACTCACACAACTTTTCTTAAGGGACTGTGTGTGTGTGTGTGTCTAGATTCCAGCAGTTCCCTAATACTCCACCAGGGGGCAGCGGAGCACAGCTGTCTAAAACGCCCACCAGCCTGGATTTTGGGGTGGGTGGTGGGAGAAGAGGAGGATGGTCCAACGCTATGCCCTTCCCTTAGAAAAGGTTCTAGTCCTCACTGTTCCAGGCACGCAGCACCCTGGACAGCTGCCCGTGCAAGCTGATGGACAGCTCGCCACCCCCCGGCCGCCCCCTTCCTCACCTCGGCCTCCAGGTAGGCCACCCGCTCCTTGAGCTCGTGAATGACGGCGTCCTTGGACTGGATGACCGTCTTTGAGTTCTGCAGCTGAAGAGAAAGACCCGGAGGATTCAGAGTTTGGACCCCAACCGGACACCCACACACCCGCACACACATTCACACCCACCCCACCGACCTGCNCCCCCGGCCGCCCCCTTCCTCACCTCGGCCTCCAGGTAGGCCACCCGCTCCTTGAGCTCGTGAATGACGGCGTCCTTGGACTGGATGACCGTCTTTGAGTTCTGCAGCTGAAGAGAAAGACCCGGAGGATTCAGAGTTTGGACCCCAACCGGACACCCACACACCCGCACACACATTCACACCCACCCCACCGACCTGCTCGATCATCTGCCGGACTTTGCGCTGCTGGCTCTTGAGCATGTCGTCCAGGTGGTGGATCTTCTCCCGCAGAGTGGCCACCTCCTTCTCCAGTTTGGTCGACCTGCGAAGACGGGACGGGGGGGGGGGGAATGGGAGCCCAAACGGTTTGCACGGCGGGTTGCGGCTCTCGGCCAAATCGCCGGGCTCGGCCGCCTGCCGAGGGAAGCAGGAGGGGCGGTGGTTCGGGGCCCGCCCCAGCCCCAGGCTCCACGGCAGCCTCACCGTTCCTGCTCGGCAACCTTGTCCTGCTCTGAGCTCCGTAGGACCTCCAGGTGCAGTTCGCCCTCTCGAACTTTCTGCAGGAGGATCTGGTGCTCCTGCGGGGGGAGGAGGAGGAGGAAGGCGGGGTGGGACGGAGGCCAGGCTGATGCTCTCCCTGGCTCCACACCCCCCACAAGGGCGCTTTTTGCGCCCCGAGTGAGCCAGCAAGAGGTCCTGGGAGCAAAGGATCTTGCAGCCACCAGGATGCAAGACCGTCCTTTCCTCTCCGTTGCCCTGGACTACAGCTCCCATCTCTGGAAGGGAGCAGAGGCTCCGTTCCATGAGAGGAAGGCTGGAGGAGGAGGAGGAGGAGGGGGAAGGAGAAGTAGGAGAAGAAAGAAAGAAAGAAAAAGAGAGAGGGAGGGAGGGAGGAAGGGAAAGAAAGAAAGAAAGAAAGAAAGAAAGAAAGAAAGAAAGAAAGAAAGAAAGAAAGAAAGGAAAAAAGGAAAAAGAGTGAGATAGAAAAAGAAAGAAGGAGGGAAAAAAGAGAAAGAAAGAAAGGAAGGAAGGAAAAAGAGGGAGGGAAAGAAAAAGAAAGAAGGAGGGAAAGAAAGAAAAAGAAAGAAAGAGGGAAGGAGGGAAGGAAGGAAAGAAAGAGGGGTAGAAAAAAAAGGAGGGAAGGAGGGAAAGAAAGAGAAAGAAAGAAAAAGGGAGGGAGGGAGGGAGGGAAGGAAGAAAGAGGGAAAAGAAAGAAAAAGAAAGAGGGAGGGAAGGAAGGAGGGAAAGAAAGAGAAAGAAAGAAAGATTAGTAAATGGACAGACTGAATAAAGATTAGTAGATAGATAAAAACTGGATTTATGGATGGATGGATGGATGGATGGAAAGGAAGGAAGGAAGGAAGGAAGGAAGGAAGGAAGGAAGGAAGGAAGGAAGGAAGGAAGGAAGGAAGGAAGGAAGGAAAGGAGGGCAATTATACCTTCTCCATGCCAGAGAGGAGTCGCTGCAATTCTTCCAATTTAAGGTCCTTCATTTCCAGCTCCGTTTCGGCCTTCCGGAGAGCGATGCCGGAGTGTTCCGCCTCCCTCCGGTAGTGCGAGATGGACGTCTGAGCGCCAGAGGAAAAACCGGATTTAGCCCTGTCTCCCCGCCCGGTTAGAAACCCAGGATAATGGGGGGCTGCCCAGAGACCCAAGCAGCTTTCCCCCCCCCCACTATAAAACACGACTCGATCCCAGCATATCTCAAGCTGACTGCAATACTGCCCATGCCTGCTCTGTTCCTCTTCCCTCCTCCTCCCTTTTTCCTCGCATGCTGTCCATGTTAGACTCTAAGCTTTTTTTTTGGGGGGGGGGGGGAATCACTCTCCCTATTTACAAGCTTAATAAGCCTGTTACCTCCTTAAGCTAAACTGTCCTTGGTTTCTTCTGGGCTGCCCAGTTTGGAAACCTCCTTCGTGTGTCCGAGTGGAACAGCCAGACTCAAATAATTCTTCCTTCCAGCAGCCTGTGAACCCCCCACCCCAGCCGAGCAATCCTCACTCCGCTGGTTTTTAACAGAAAAGGCCTTTTGTGGGTGTTTTTTTTTGTTTGTTTGCCACTGTTAAAAGAGTCTGCAAAGCTTTTATCAATTTCTCCCCCGGGGGCTCAGGACACGCATTGCAGATTTCCCGCTAGAAACTCTTAAAACTCCTGTTTTACGAGTCGTGCTGCAAGAAAGTCCGTTTGCACCCCAATATTTTTCGCCAGGCTCACCTCGTAGGCCGCGCGGTCCGACTGATGCCTCTTCTCCGCTTCCTGAAGTTTTGAAAAAAGTCTCTTGGTTGTCTCCCGCATGACGGAGATGTCCTCGGTGGGGTACGCGGGTTCGTCCTAGGGGGCGGAGAAGAGGGTTCCATTATTCCTTCCATGTTTAAAGGGACTCAAAATCATCTGAAGGTGAGCAGGAAAAACTAAAATAACCATCCATTAAAGGGATGAGTTGCTAGACTCCCAGTGACCGTTCAGGGTTCTTAAATCGATCCGAGGAAGCTGTCCACAAAAAAAAACCACGTCTCTAAAACATCACAAGGCTGGTTTGGCCTGGTGCCCCCACATTCTGGGAGGCACCCCTAAAGCCCTGCCTTTATTTATTCTTTGTTTATTTATCCCATGTTAGGAATCTCACTGTGCATCGCTGGCTGGCTGGACAAATAACCCCCAAAACCACACACAAATATTAGAATAAAAACAGGGGAAACCAAGGATTAAAGTAACCAAGATTAAAAAGTCACTGCCCCCACCACTACCACCACCAGGAATCCTGGCACTAACCTGGCTTATGGATATTGTGCGATACGTTACAGTCCGAAGAGGCTGGAAGCCGTTTGACTTATCAGGGGGAAACTGCACATCCAAAAGAAAAGGAGAGGAAAAATTAAATGCCGTCGAGCATGGCACCAGGGCCACCAATCCATCCTCTTGAAAAAGGGGGTGCTCCCATTTTTGGGGTGATGACTTTGGCATGGAGATGCAGGGAAGGACCCCACCTGTCAGACAGACACCCCAATTCCTTTCCCCAGAAGCTGAGCTCCCAAGGACCCATCGGGCGCGGCCCGTGTGCGGCTCAGCCAAGAAACACAACGCAGAGACAGAGTCAACAAGGCTGTGCCAGGCAGCCCAACATCTGGGCACGGCTGGGTGAAGGGAAGGGGGAGTGAATCATCCGGATAAGCAGGCTGGGTTTTGGTGCCAGGGAGACGCAAAGCATCTCCTGCCAAGCTGAGAAGAAAAAAAAAAAATCTCCTTTCTAGGCAAAGCTGGAGGGTTTGCCAACTCAACCCATCAACCATGGATTTGGGGGGAGGGAGGGAGGGGGCAGGAATAAGGCTCTCAGTTTTTGTGCAAAAATGCAGGTGATTTTAGGGAGGGTCGCTAAAAAAAGGAGGGGTTTTAACTGGCAAAATTTGAAGGCTGGATGCCAGCAGAAAAGAGGATTTTTTCCCGACAAGGTTTGACGGGGTGAAGCACCCAAAATTGCAAGCAAATTTTTGCAAGTGCCACAAAGAAAAAAAAAAAAAAAGGGGGGGGGGGTTTCAACCTTTTCTCCAAAGCATTTCCTGAAGGCCGGACAAGAAGCAATGAATGGAAACTAACCAAGGAGAGAAGCAACCTGGAACTAAGGAGAAACTTCCTGACACTGAGGACAATTAACCAGTGGAACTGCCTGCCTCCAGAAGTTGTGGGTGCGCCATCACTGGAGGTTTTCAAAAAGAGGCTGGACAGCCATGGCATTGGGTCTCCTGCTTGAGCAGGGGGCTGGACTAGAAGACCTC